TTACACTCCAATAACGTTAAATTATAACTAACTAACAGGCACTTTCTAGGGGTTCTCTTAGATATATTAGAACGATCACATAAGCATCTATTTGTATAGCGTCTTATTACCACATATGTTTTCTTAGATCTAAGATATTCGACATGCTTTTTAAGGAATTCTTTCATAGTTATAGACTTTCTACTATTTTCTCTTCTAAGGCTAGTTATAATGTTAGAGAATGGAAGAGTAACATTACCATCTGACTGCTCTATTTCCGAAGTATTAGATGTGTCAAAATCAATATAATCAGAAGATCCACTTGGTTGTTCTGATGCTGAGAAATATTCAGCTTGTGAAATTTCTGATTCTACTGGTTTTAACTTGCTAGTGACATCTAGGCTGAGTTCTCATTTGCTGGCACCTGGGACATCTATCATTGCTGTAGTGACTGACTCTAATTTCATTCTTTTTAATTTCAAAGTGGCGTGAGATCTTTGTTCAGAATTAATCAACTTATTTAAACTCTCATATGAAAATTCTGATGGCACTCCACCTGTTGCATATCTACTTATTATTCTAATTAAGTCTTTATTTGGATGGTGACCCTGAGTCATATATTGCTTAATCATTTTAACAACTATACTTTTCTTTAAATTTTCGTCTTTAACGTTTTTCATTGCCGCATAAACGGCACATATAGTAATGTCTATGTCACTGTGAGATAAATAGTGTCGTCCTCCCTGAGTGCTTTGGTTAATTTTGATTAATAAGTTGCTTTTTTCTAGGCCTAGTTCATCTGCTAATTTTTCCAAATCTTCTTTGCAAAAGCATGCTCCTGCTAGAGGTGTAAGTAAAGTTTTACCATTATCATGTTCCAGTTTAACGAGCCTAGCTAATATTTCATGTACAAGCAATGCTGCTTGTTTCAAAGACAAAATCATTGTAGTCAATGTGTTCTCTGGTTTGAATTTTGCATTCTCTTGTTTATAAGTGGCAATAAACACAAAGTGATCTACCTCATTGACTTTGAAGATGAACTTCCAAACCTTGTCGCCAGTGCCTTTTTTAACTTTTCTGGACTCTGGGCCTACTTCATAAATCACTTCAGAGCAGAATTCAACTGCTTTTGATCTAACATCACCTTTTAAGTCTTCCATGTAGTCATTACAGTGTTTTTTAAAGGTACTCCTAAGCTCTGTCAAATTAAAGTCTAATCCCGTGTGTTTACCTAAAAATTCTTTTACAGTTATACCTGCTATCTGATATTCCTTGGCTACAGTGTGGGCAATTAGTATAGCTGGTTTACACACTACCGCTAATACTATAGCTCGCTGTAGTTGCACGAGTAGTCATATTGTTTATTTAGGTTGAAAAATGTAGTATAATTAAACAATGAATATTCAAATATGTGTTGTAACTCTATAAGACTTCCTTCAAGCTGCTATAAAGCTGAAATAACTTGGCTGCTACCATTTACAGTATGCAATTCAAAACTAACTTTGTGTGGCCCTTGAAAATTAGTCTGATAGAATGATTCGTATGTAAATTTTGTACCTTCTCTATGAACTATGGGAACTCTAAACATGAAACCACAAGAACAAATTGATCTAATGTTAACAAACTCTGCCACAACTCCCTTTTCAATGACAATATCAAGTATTTCTTCTTTCTGATTGATGATTATCGATACAGGATAATACATCTATGTCACTGCGTGCTGCTCATTCCATCTTACCGTCAATGGTGACGTACTCAGCTTTCGAATGAAACCACTCATGTGCACTCCAGACGCATACCAATCATTATTTTCGTGAGGTCGTCTGATAATTGGTACGTGACTTGCAAGAATGTGCCTTTCGCGCTGTCTTTCCCAAGTATCGTATAGTTCGCCTTTTCCGTCAAAATAATTCAACAATTCTGAAATCACCTTGATATTTGCTTGATTTGCCTCGGTGATCTGTCTTCTTGGTGTTGTTTGAGTTGCAGGTTCCTGCGGTGTCGGACCATGATTTTCCTGCGATTGTGCATTCAAATTTGGCGGTTGCTGTTTACGCAAAATTTCTATTTCCCTTCGAGCGAGCTCAAGCTCACGTTTGGCGACTGCTTCTTCTCTGCGCATCAACTCCATTTCACGACGCATATATTCTTTTTCGCTCACACTTTCGCGCAAAGGAGTAACTTCCGGTTGCACCACTGGTTCGTTAACGTTGCATGGGGTTTCCTTATCTTGAACCTATAGCCCGGATGGATCTGCTTCCAATAATCTGCCGATGAGCTCGCTTTTAACGCCACCAGTGGCTAGGCCGCGGTTCCTGAGCTTTTCCCTTAATTCTTGCACAGAAAACTCAATTGCACTTTTTGTTGCCATTACGTTCAAACACAATTGCCACGATTAACTACGAATCTCCATTTAAACCTTATGATTCGGTTGAGTTTTTTATTTGGTTGGACCGGCCTCCAAAATTGTAGGATTGAAAATGAATCGAATAGGTTCCTAAAATAATTTTAATTTGATACAAGTCTATGTCGCTATTCACATTAATTTCTCACTATCTCACGGTCTCACAAATCTCGCTGTCTCGCTATTCTCACCCAAAAACTGCTCTCGCTTTCTTTTTTCGCTAAATACTGTTCTCGACCTCATGCATCTTTCGCAAATATACTAATCGCTCACCCACATTCTCACATACACAGATTCTCAGATTATCGCACTCAATATCCCTTTCTCACTTTTATTATAATTCGCACTCTTCTTTCACTCTCTCTCTCGGTGATTCACCTGTCGCTTGTTTACGTATTTCGCGATCGTCAGTTCATCGGTGGCCCTAACGACACTTGATGTTTGTATTTCTTTATATGCTTCTAACTGTCGTCGATTCGAGTCGTAACGGCTTATTTTTCTACAATACTTAATTTATTTATTTTGGAATACTTTCCTTTTTGATTTTTGCTCCATTTCGTCCGCCCTGTTTCTTGTAGATGACAATGTAAAACAAGTGACGCGAACCACGTCACGTAATGAAAAATTAGCGGGCTTTTTCGTATATACGCAAAAAATATACGATTGCATTTATTGCCATCGCTCCTAATTTATGGCCATTGATATAACATAAAATAATTTTCAGAAAAAAAATACACCGACTTCGAAATGCACTAAAAAGTATAAAATAATTTCTATTTCCTAATGAAGTAATTTCTATTTCATTCAATCATACAATTACGTAACAGATATGAATGATACCTACTTACTCGTTAAGTAGTATATTAAATACATTTCAACTTTTTCGGAAGCGGCGCAAAATTAAAAGCTTTTCTTGAACATGTCAACCTTTGGACAGCCGAACATAGGCAATGCTTGCATAGCTATTTCTTTTTCTATACATATAACTCGGCAGCACGCCGCGAAGTAGGTGTTAGTGCGTATAGAATGTAACTATGGTCTATCTAGATTCATAGAGTATGCGACGGAAAGACTCGATCGCCGCATGTACTATAAAGATAGAGCCCATCTGCCGCACATTTGGTAATCCCCGCGTCGTGGGCTTCGTTTATAGGTTCTTAGATCCATGGCTTCCACATGCGAACAAAGTCGATTCAATTTCATTTATATCAGAAACGTTGCGAAATGAAGATGCAGTCGTTACATTTACGTATATTACCAGATATATCTATAATGGTTCGTATTCTTTCTCAGGATTTATTAATTTCCAATACGCCATACCACAATCAACTGGTTATTGGCAGCAACGTTTACTGAGGTATTTTTAATTTTGCGCCGCCTCCGAAAAGGTTGAAATGTATTTAATATACTACCTAACGAGTAAATAGGTTTCATTCATATCTGTTACATAATTGTATGATTGAATGAAATAGAAATTACTTCATTAGGAAATAGAAATTATTTTATACTTTTTAGTGCATTTCGAAGTCGGTGTATTTTTTTTCTTAAAAGTATTTTATTGCGTATATAGAATGAACACTGTAGTTGTCGAGTCAAATTAAGAAAAAGTAACTGTTCCGAGTAAAATTTATTAGATGCATACAAATTTTGGAATTTTGAATTAATAAAAGAATATTGTCCTGTCACTAGCGTAATTTTCGTAGTCGACTACACCGCGTTAGATACTAGATAAAATCATTAATCTGTCTAACTTTGAGAAAGCGTATTTAGGTACTGTTCAGAGCACGAGAGAAAAGTAGCGGGACGGTAACGGGGCAAAGAGGGTAGGCCGCTAGGACCACCTAATCCCCACTTTTCGACTCACGCGTAGCTTCCACCGTTCATCCGTAATGGTGTGGTTTTACATAGGTATAGAAACAGATATTGCTACTATATGTTAAAAAACTCTACCTTTTTCCTCTTACGCGATGCGTAAAACTTTTGGACACTACGACAATGGAATGCCGCTCAACGTATCGCTCGTTCTGTCTCTCTTGTTCTACATATATCTGACCCACTCTCCCCGTCACGCGACCGATTAGTGTATGTGTGCGCCTCGACAAATAGCGTGTTATTGCCGAAAATACGTGTGACAATAGGCGGCAACGTTACAATCCGACCACTGCGATGCTCTTTTCGTCCCTCTAGCCCCGTTCCCGTCCCGCTACTTTTCTCTCGTGCTCTGGACAGTACACTCAGAGAATCACACTTAGGTCGGATTCCTCGCTGCGGTAGACTACAATAAACGCGCTAATATTATTAATTTCGTAAAAGAACATTTATATAAATTACAACCGTATTAATCAAGTTCAATTTTGTCATTGCGATAGCTTCGGAAAAGGGAATCAAATAATATAAAATATCAAATTTAGTTAATTTTATAAAAGCGTAGTTAGCTTTATCTGAGATCAGACTTAGGTACGATTAATATAAAGTATTAACTAGCGAGTTTCATTTTGTTAGATTCACAATCATCTATTGGGTTGTTCGGAAAGTAATTTCGTTTTTTCCCGACAGAGGATTTAATTGTATTTTTTTGCACCCAACTTCACACTTAAGCCGTATAATTATTATATGCTTTGAGAGCTCATATAGCAAGGCTTGTGTGTGAAAAATTCCAATTAATTCTACGCAGTAGTTTTTGGTTGGTGCCCTTTTAAATATGGAGAGCGGTAAGCAGCATTTTCGACATATCTTACTGTTTTACTACAGAAAGGGTAAAAATGCTGTTCAAGCCAGAAAGAAATTGACCGATGTGTATGGAGAAGGTGTGTTGACAGTACGCCAGTGCCAGAACTGGCTCGCTAAATTTCGATCCGGCAATTTTGATGTCGAAGATGCACCACGTTCGGGAAGGCCGGTTGAAGCTGATAAGGACGCGATAAAGGCATTAGTTGATGCGAACCGGCGAATAACAACACGTGAGATCGGATTGAGGTTAAATTTATCAAATTCAACAGTTTATAACCACTTGAAAGGCCTGGGATTATCCTCGAAGCTCGATGTATGGGTTCCCCATGTTCTCACAGAGAGAAATCTGTGTCGCCGCATTGACGTCTGCGATTCGCTTCTCAAACGTCACGAAAATGATCCGTTTTTGAAGCGCATCATCACTGGGGACGAAAAATGGGTTGTATACAACAACGTCAAACGCAAGAGGTCATGGAGCAAAAAAGATGAACCGGCTCAAACCATTTCCAAAGCCGATATTCACCAAAAAAAGGTGATGCTGTCTGTTTGGTGAGATTTTAAAGGAATCGTTTTTTTTGAGCTTTTACTGGATAACACAACGATTAATTCGGAAGTCTACTGTCATCAGCTGGACAAACTGAATGATGCACTTCAACAGAAAAGGCCAGAACTAATCAACAGGAAAGGTGTAGTGTTTCACCAAGACAACGCGAGACCTCACACAAGTTTGGTCACTCGCCAAAAGCTTTTACAGCTTGAATGGGATACAATGCCACACCCACCATATTCTCCAGACCTGGCACCATCGGATTATTATTTGTTCCGGTCACTCCAAAATTTTTTAGACGGTAAAACCTTCACCTCAAATGAGGAGGTCAAAAACCACCTCGATCAGTTTTTTGCCAGCAACGACCAAAAATTTTATGAGCGTGGAATTATGCTACTACCAGAAAGATGGCAAAAGGTGTTGGACCAGAACGGCCAATATATAATTTAATAAAGTATTTGTTTATTATACGAAAACTGTCTTTCATTTCCACAAAAAAAAACGAAATTACTTTCCAAACAACCCAATATTATGTATAATTTAATTTGTTGAGTTCCTTATTACTATACAATCAAAGTCTATTTAGTTTCCTTTGATCAAGCCAATATACTTTTCATATTTTGTTATTTGTTATTTGTTATCTGTTAATTTATCAATTTCATTATTTTATTGAATAAACCTTATTGTTAAAAGATATTGACCTGGGGATTTCACTCCTTAACTGCACACCACACAAATCCTACATTCTTTAGATTTAGTTATTTGTAAAAACGAGTCGTACAGTAGGTGAAAGCCGCTCACGAGCGCTGTTAACATCTGAACCTAGGTTCTAGAGTCGTTACACATGTTTCAACGATGCTAGAAAGCAAAATAGCAATGCGCGAGATGAAGCAAGGACAGTGGTGCTCGGCGTTAAAACGGTCGTTCCATATCGCGCCAATATTAACGCGATGGCGCTCTGGCGCGGAGCACCACCGCCCTTGCTTCGTCTCGCGCGTTGCTATTTTGCTTTCTGGCATCGTAATCAAAACGATGTTGCAACTTTCTATGGGTGCATTTTAAAGGTGAAAATCTGTTCTATCGCGTGGTATAGTTCAATTTTCCACTAGACCCTTACTTTTTAAGATAAATTGAAAAACATGCGTAAAAATTGGTGCAAAATCTGTGTCTCTCGGCGTTCAATGACCATTTAAACATATTTAAAATGCAGAATGCATAAAACGCAGATATTGTTGTATTCGGGAAAGTCTATAGAATCTTTTGATGCAAACAGAATCTTAGTATCTTTTATAGTTACCTTACAAAATTGGTTCAAATTTTAAGTGTTTTTTTTTCAAACTCAAATTTCTTAAAAACTGTATGTGCTGGAGAGAAACGGGTTGCAAATTCGTAATCATCGCGATAAAAGTTATAAGAATCACTGAATGAAAATATAAACGCCAATTGGCTGTTGGGCTGTGTAATTATCCTATGGATCTGTACTTTGACGGTTTTCAAAAGAAGTACATCGACTTCTAATTATAACATCTGCGACTCTTATGTTAGAACCCGTCGTGGTTCCATTTTTCTTATCAGCGCGCTTTTCCAGTTGTAGGGTAAAGTTTTTCGAGGCCAAAAATGCAAAAAATATTCGTGAAATCTTTTAACAATTGCTTAAAATAAAATTTGGCTCTTATTTATTTTCCTTTTCACTGATGAATTTTATAACATTTTTGATAAATAATATTGTATTTGACTGAAATTTATGAATGTCTTTCGAACGTTAGTAATATTCTACCAGCCAACGGCCATACTAGTCAGGATATACCGGTTCTCGTCCGATCACCGAAGTCAAGCTGAGTTGGGCGCGGATAGTACTTGGATGGGTGACCGCTTGGGAACTCCGCGTGCTGTTGGCTTTTTTTTTTCCTTGCAACAACAAATTACTTAATAAAACTCTATTTTGTTCAATTTTAAGTTATTTAAATTGCGAAATTAGCAGGGCAGTCGCCCTGCCTATTGTCTTGGAATAACGAAATAGTTATTTCGCGACTGCCGCGCCGCGCCAACATCGAGTACCACTGACAGCGGCGCGTGTTTTGCTAAACTATTTTTTTTATAAAAGGAAAGCAAAAGTGATTTTGTAACTTCGCTTGATGCTTTCTGCAGAAATGTCTACTCTATCATGTGGGATGGTTAGATTTTCGCCTAGACCCATAGTTTTTTAAATAAATTGAAAAATATCAGGAAAAATTGGTGCGTTTTTGGTGTCTTTCTTACTTTGATCATCATTTAAGCATATTTAAATATTTACAATGTAATAACAATTCATATAGTTTTATTCAGGATAATTCACAGATTCTTCTCGTGCAAAAAGCCACTGAATAACTGCTACGGTAAAAGCACAAAAAATTTCCAAAGTTGAAAATTTGCAATTTTTTTTTAAATTAATTTTCTCAAAACCTGTACGTTCTAGAGAAAAACTGATTTCAGATTCGTATTCAGCTCGCAAAAATCTAGAAGAATTTCATAGTAGCCATTACAAAATCAGTTGGCTATTGCATATTGTATCTGATCATAAAACCATACCCTATATCCATCATTTTCAATGAGAATGGATAGAGAATTTGAAATACAAGATGTACCGGAATTAACTCAAATGCCAATAATAGAAGAACTAAATTTAGAACAAACACAAACTAATACAAATTTTTTGTTAAACTGCACAACAGCACCGGCATCTTCTTTGATAGGAAGTTCATCAATATTAAATAAGGGAAATTTAAGTAATAATTCTCAAAAATCAAATAATATTCAAAACAATATCCATTATAACATTAAATTTAGCAATAGACCTGGTTCCAAAATTTCATGGGCAGACAACATGTAATATATTCAAATGTTCAAAGCAAGGTCGTTTAGCGAACACACTAATTAAACCCAGTGAACAGAAAAGTTTTTTCGCTTCACTAGAAATACAATCAGAGGTTTGGCTGAACAAATTATTAATAATCGAGTTGGACCAAACAATTTAGAAGAATTAATTGAAATTTTAAAGTCTGTATTAATTAAAAGTTATGATTTGAAAGAGGATTAGTAGTAAATTTAATTTAGGAATAGACGCAAATCAAGAAAATTATAGCTCAGAACAAAAAGCGGGAATAATTACGTTATTAAATTAAACGGCAATAAATTGATTCTTAAGGGGTTTGCAAAATTAATTGATAAGTTTGATTATATCCAAATATCAAACGAAAAATTAGAAAGTATTACTTCAGAAGCAGTCAAATTAGACCAAGAGGTAAAAGAAAGGAATAGACAACGGGACAAAGATCACGTCGCACGAATTAATATTTGGCAAAAAAGCGAGACAACGATCGAATTTTGTCATTGAAGAAGACATTAGTACTTTTCCAGATTTCGTTGACAACTTAATTACAACATTACGCAACCTTCGCAATACAGCCAGGAACAATTTGCAACAATCAAAACACCGGTAAAAATTTTATTATGACAAAAAAATGCGACCTGTATATTATTAAACCAGCGAAAGCGTTTTCCTACTCAACGCGCCACGAAAACATAAATTGCAGAAAGAATACTCTGGGCCCTTTATAGTATATAGGAACATTGGAGAGGACAATGTAGAACTGCGAATAAGAGGGAAGAATGAAAAAAGAATTAGTACATACGAATCGTGTCAAGAGGGCCTTTGTACCAATCAAGGATCAAGAATCAATAAGCAGGAGAATACAGCCTTAGAAATGCAAGGATACGAATAAAATGTGCATGCGCATGCACAATGTGCATGTACGGGATCTACGTACGAGATGAAGAGGTCGTATTTTCCTTCAAATATAACCCGCAGATGAGGCAGTTATGCGCTGTATGTGGACTGAAGGCACGACCGGAGACGAGGAAGCAGTGGTGGCAAACAGGCAAGGAATTGGATATACTAATTAAATTTTATTGAACAAATACATAATAACATTAATGAACCATAAATAGGGGCCCACCACCACGTCTCCCGCAAATACACGCAAGGACAGACCAGATGCATACAATGTAAAAGGGTATTCAGTAAAATAAGGCTTGTCATCGCTTGCACACAGTGCCGGGACAGAATCGCTGGATATGACGAAGAGGAAGATGGAGGTCTTTTAATTATTGTTCCCGTTATATTGCTCAAATTACCTATATTTAACTGATAATTTGAAATCCCAACAGTTTTGGCAATTATTTGCATTTAAACGTAAAGGTGTCAAAAGACACCTTGTGGTCGAAATAGATATATACAAAATCGTGGTAGAAATAGTGTTAACACTAAACCCACTGACCTATAATGTACATTTACTTTGAAATTAAAAATGAAGTTAAAGAATAAATATACAAACGACGAAACATAAATTAGCACACACATTTATTCTGTATTTTGATGAAAATCAATGCTAATTTCAAGGAATAAACTTTAACAAAATGTATACTTTATAATAAGAAACTTATGGAGCGGTCATTTGACCGGTTTGGTAGTTTTAGTGTTACATTTTACTTACGATCCCGAGAACACGGCGCGATATGTATATATAAACAAGCAAGGAAAGAAAATTTGGGAAGCTCGTACCTTTTGTAATCTTTGTATATAAACTTACAATTAGATGACAAACCGCTCACGAAGGTTCGAGGCGAACGTTCCTTCACGATCCTTTGTGAGCGAGCTAGTCTCGTCCTCTGTGTCCCTCACTTCGTGCTGGGTGTCAGCGTCAAGAGAAAAGTTATAAGCGCGAGAGTGAGACAGTTAGGATGCGGCTTTGGCAGTTCGCTAATACGGCGTTTATCCGAAAAACTGTACACATTCTAGATCCTACATTAATTTGTTTTGCCGAACGTAAAAAAGAACAACGAGTAAAGGATATCGAATGTAAACAAATAATAACAAATATAACACGTCACTCAATAAGTCCCCGGTCTGACACATATATGGTGACACTGGTGACAGACCCACGTTATTTTCGAATAATACTAACCTTCAAACAGTACGCATCAAAATTTCATGATATTCTGACCAATAGTTTAGAAGTTACAGTCATTTTAGTACCCCTAGTTTCGTAATTTTGAAGACGATGGATAGAAAGGAATTTCGTGTGTTGATTAAACACTGTTCTTTAATCGAAAAAAATACTGTTGAAGCCAAAAAGTGACTTGATAAGCATTATAGGGACTCTGCATCAGGGAAATCAACTATCATTGTATGCTCAATTTAAACGCGGTCATACAAGCACCGATGATGCTGAACGCTCTGGTTGCCCAAAATCAGCAGTCGTTCCGGAAAACATAAAA